GATGGAGGTTCTTAGAAATACACAACAGTATAAGAATGGTGTTTTAAACTTTATTGATTATGCAATAACCAATTACAAGGTTGCGATGACTATTGAACCTAATAAACGTTTAAAGAAACTAAAAATTCTATGCCCATGCACTTATTGTGTAAACCACATATGTCAGTATGTTGAGACTGTGGAATTTCATTTATTCAAATATGGAATCAATCAAAACTATTCCAATTACACTAAGCATGGAGAAATGAGACCAACAAGTAATGTGGTTTCTAAAGAAAAATATTCAAGGGACACATCATTCTTTGTGGATTCCACAGATTTTGCAGATGAAGGAATTCCAATAGATGCCCCAAAAACAATAGAGATTGTTTAAGCCACAGAGCAAAATTTCATAGAAAATCCTGAAAAGGTTTAAAAAACTATTAAAAGATGCTAAGAATCTCCTTTACAAGGGATGTGTAGACTTCACAGAGTTGTCTGTAGGTGTTCAACTTGTCAATGTGAAGATCAAGTATGGTGTTTCAGATAAGTGATTTCCCGAATTCCTGGTTTTGATTAAAAAGATTCTACATGACGATAATGAACTATGTAGTAGTGCATATGAGGCTAAGAAATCATTGATAGAACTGGGTCAGGATATACAAAAATACATGCATGTGTTAACAACTACATTCTTTACAGGAACGAGTACGAAGACATCACAGTATGACCCACTTGTGGGAAACCAAGATGGAAGGTGGATGAAAAAAAAACTTATGAAAATATTCCTGCAAATTTTTTTTAGTACTTTCCCATTATTCCACGAATGAAATGATTATTTCAATCAAAGTCAATTGCTAAAGATTTAATATGGCACACGTTCAATAGACAAGTTGATCCTGGTGTTTTACGTCACCCAACAGATTCACCCGCATGCTCTGTCAAAGATGACAAATTTACTGACTTCGGTATTGAACCAAGAAATCTGCAGCTTGGCATTTCGGCCGATGGTGTCAACGTGCATGAAGGAAGTAGTAATCACAGTGTGTGACCTATTTTAAGTGACATTTACAACCTCTCACCATGGTTGTGCATGAAAAGAAAGTTTATCATGCTTTGTTTACTAATACTGGGAATGCCCAGGAAACAATATTGATGTGTTCTTAGCGCCTTTGATTGATGATCTGAAACTATTATTTGATGTTGGAGTTAAAATGTTTGATGCATATACGGGATGGATTTTTTTGTTTGTGTGCAGTTGTTTTATGGACAATTAATGATTACCCCGCCCTCGGTACATTAAGTGGATGTCCTTATAGCGGATATAAAGGCTTTGTGGTATGTGGGGAAGAAAAAGATTGTATTAGGCTTTATGATTCTAATAAGCAGTGTTATGCTGGTCACAGGCGTTATCTACCATATAAACATCCGTTTAGAAATCAGAAGAAGGCGTTCAATGGAAAAAAGAATTTGAAACTGCTCCAGAACCTATGAATGGGTAACAACTATATAACAAGGTCAGAAATATTAAAAACACATGGGGAAAGGGAGCTAAGATCAATGAATCAAAAAAGGAAGAAATTCTATAGGAAGAAGTGGGAAGATTAAAAAAACAAATGGAACTTCAAACAAGATGTTAGCCAAGAACAAAACACATATTGGAAGAAATTTAATATATCGTATGAACGTCTTAGGTATTGGCCTCATAATTTGGTTCGTCGTTGTATAGATTTTATGCATACCGAACAGAATGTGACTGAGAGTCTAGTTGGGACATTTCTGAACACTCCATTTAAGACGAAAGATGGACTAAAGGCGTGAATGGATTTGGAGTCTTTTGGTATAAAAATAGAATTACATCCTCAAAGACAAGGCAACACCACCCCTCTCCCGCAGTAGGTTACACACTAACGCCAGAAGTAAAAGACAAGTTTTGCGAAACATTTTACAACTCAAGGGTCACAAGGGTATTGTTCTAACTTTTCAAATTTGGCGAGTCTGCGTGATAGGAAGTTGATCGGACTTAAATCACATGATTACCACATGATCATGCAACAATTTATACCCATTGAAATACGATCTATTATGCATCCATCCACAAAAATGCTATTATCAGGTTTTCTTTCTTTTTTAAATCAATATGTAGCAAAAAAATCAAAGTGGATGAGGTCGATAAGATGCAAAAAGAGTTATGTGGTAAAGTTGGAAGGAACTAACAAATCATGAAAAATGTGAAATTTTATTGGTTGGTGTCACGAAAAAAGGTGAAATTTTATTGGTTTATGACTTGAAATGGGTCACTTGATAAATCAAATTTTAAGTAATGACTCTAAGGAGCAAAATATTAATGGTTGTAGTTTTTATGAATTTTTTGAGTTTTGGTTTAAATGATCCTCAAATTTATTTATTATTATTATTTTTAATTTATGGGGACATAAGGTGAGTTTTGTCGTGTCTAAAGGGTCATATGTTGCATGGTGTACCGGTTATTAAAGTTGGAAGGAACTAACAAATCACGTCATAACCTACTTTATACCCAACAAAGCCAGAAAATAACTCTAGGGACTAAATCAACCAACTTTGAAAATATTGTGTGTGTGTGTGTGTGGGGGGGGGGGGGGGGGGGGTTGGTTGTGTCATTTCTCTTGTTAAATATATGCTTAGTTGTTAAATTCAACTAGGGATGTAAACAAGCTAAGCTTGACATGGTTTTCTATATATCATATTTTACAAAATCAAGCAAAATTTAAAATATTACAAGAAGTTGCACTCAGATATGGTATTGTTTCTCAACACTCAGATATGGTATTGTTTCTCAACATTCATTCTCAATTATATAATATTATATGAAGCAGCTTGTGGCTGTTGGATGTCTTATGGTCTTGGTGAACTGTTTTTATTGGTTTTAAAAATTAAGGTGTAATCAATAAAAGCAACAAAAATACACAATCATGTTTGAGTATATATATATATAGTCTTGCATGCCATATATAATAACTAAATTTAACGATTTAATTAGATAATAGTAAGATTTAAGATTTGGATACTCGTAGGATGAAATATTTATATTATGAATGTTGTAAATCAGACGAAGTTCATTGAAAGCTGCAAGGGAAACCCTAATCATCAACAATTTACTAACCCAAGACCAGATCAAACCCCACCAAATTTCCCACTCACTTATCATCAATTCCTATTGCTCACATTTCTTTTATATTTTATTTTAATTGATAATAATAATAATAGCAGCTTCTAAAATAAGATCATTTTCATAGAATATAATCTCATGTAATAATTTATTAAGGATACATTAATGACTCGAGATTCCCTCAACCAAATCAAGATCAAAAAGTACAATCAAGCATTTGGAGGGTGCAAATTGCAAGTTTTCAATTTCAAAGTACTAAATGTGATGTTTTATTGAAGGCTTAAGTTCTAGAATATTCATAGAAGGCAACTTTACACCTAGCTCCATGGTCAAAATTCGTGGGCTAATGTTTATTTCCCTCCAAATTTCAAGTATAAATCATGAACAAATAACTCACATAACCCGTTGGAGAAAGAATATATATATATATATATATATATATATATATATATATATATATATATATATATATATATAAAACTTACATAATAGAAACTTAGGATATGTTTGGTGAATTGGCACATATAAATTAGTTTATTTTTCGAATTTATTATAATTTGATGTTTGATGAGATTATAAAAATATTTTATAAATTAGTTTTTTTTTATAATCTATCTTTTTGGTATGTGAAACACAACTTTAGTCTTATTATGTCTAACATTCATTTGAAATTTATTAGACTAAGACTTAAGCAAAGATTAATAGAACAAAAACTATAAATTTTATTCCATTGGAAACATTATGGATGGGTCATTAGGGTTATATTTAGCACGTCATGGCTAGTTAATAAACTAATTTATTTTTCGAGCTTTTTTAAATTATAATGTTTGACAAACCAAAAAACAGTTCATAAGCTAGCTTTTTAAAAAGCTACTTAGACTAGTTTTTCATGAGTTTTTTTTTTTATTTTTTTTATTTTTATTTTTTTATTTTTAAATTTCAATTATATCCCTTAATTGATTATAGAAAATTGATTATAGAAAACATGTTCTTTTAAATGTCTTTTTATATCATTTAGCTAGCTTTTCAGCTAGTTTTATCAAACGTCAAATTTTATAAGCAATTTTTTTAGCTATCAACTAGTTTTTCATATAATAACTAGCTTTCAGCTAACCATCATGCAAACTTCAAATTATGTTAATGCTCTCAACATCATGCAAACTTAGAATTACTATTATTTGTTACGAAATACAAAGTATCATTGTATTGCTTCTTACTTACATTTGCATTAGAGTGAGACTATAAAAGATGTTAATATTATACTTTTTGTACACCGAAAAAGGTGGAACAAGACCGGTTACCCTCTATGCAAATGACATAAATGTCCTTCATATCTAAAAAGACATAAATACCTTTCACATCCATAATCCATATCATCATCGAAAATAAACCTCATAAAACTTGTCCAATCCATTCATGTCCCATCCTATGTCCCAAATACTATAAAGAATATACAATAAATTTGGTTACATAAAACCAACATTTTTGTTCATCAAGAACTCGTGAAAGTATGATTCTTGGGTAATTAATGAATATGTATCAAGAATCTATAAGTAAGCAAGTTCTAAAACCATATATGGCTTTAACAAGTTTTTATTTTTATTTATTATTTTTTTTTTAATAAATCTTGGAGGTTGATCTTTAAAACAGACCATGTACAATGATGTAATTTGGTGTCACTTTAATGCAATTGTTTCCCAGAAATTAAGAAAGATAAATGCAATCAGAAAACTTGGAGATACCCAAATTATCACAAATTTGGAAAAGTTGATCAGAAGAAATGTTAATGTGAAACTTATTCCAGTTTTATTTCGATGAACATCAAGAGTGTTAAAAAAAAAAAAAAAAAGAAAGAAACACATATATGAATTATGAACATGTTTTTAGCCATTAGAATCAAAATTAGCATAAAACCCAAGTTTACACCAAGATCTTATCTGGAAATTTGAACCCTTCCGATCAGTTTCCAATTAGAAGAAATCAAGCAGCAAGTATCCAATTATTAGTGATCAACCATATCCCTAATGCTACCTCTGCAAAAGTTGAAAAAAAGAACACGATGATTAGAAAGTGGGATTTGGTATGTGTATCGAAGTTATCAATTAGAGAAGACGAACAGTGATTATCAATTTTTATCATCGGATTATTACCTTTCCGGTTTCGATCTCGTCGGGAACTTTGTACAGATCGGCAGTTATTTCCGACAACCACAATCCCGGGAAAAGAGTCTGTGAATCAAAGAGATAATGCAACAGTTAAATTTAAAGATGCTTCGCAGATTTGAAAAAGAGATCAAGTTGAATTAGTTTATTTCACTTACATCCAATTGTTTTTGAACAATCCGTGGCCGTTTCTTCGGCTTACGCGGCAGTCGTCGACCGGCCATAGCCATGAAATCGTCCTCCAACTCACGACGGGAAAGGGAAATGGAAAACTTTGGTCTGTCTCTCTTCTCGGCACTTGTAGTTGCGGTGGCGATTCCGATGATAGGCCGGTGTTTCGGAGATTTGCATTCGTTTCTTACCGGAGAAGAATTAGGTTTCAGAACATCACCGTTACCGTTGACTCCGTTCGATGGAGACGGCGGAGCCTTGCACGCTGCTCGTCTAGTCCTCAAATTCCATGGCCTCTCCGCCGGAGAATTAGACGTCGTCGTAGACGTTGTCGCCGGCGGCGGCGGAACAACAAGACCTTCTCTAAGAATGGCATCCTTCATCTTACCAACCTCCTTCTGAAAATCGAACATCAGCTTCTCTCTAGTCGCCTCGATCTCACCATCTCCGGCAGCTCCGGTTCTCGCCTTCATTTTCTCCGAGGAAGAAAACTTATAATAACTCTCCATCTTACGATCATCACTCGATCTAAATCGTCTCTCAAATTCCGAATCCCTTCGTCGTGTTCCGATTACAGAGCCACCGCCACCACCACTCTCCGACGATTGCTTGCGATCGACGGCCGACGCATCTCCGTTTGAATCCACCTTCATGCACCGTAGGAGCTTCTGATTCCCCCACTTCAAGCACGGCAAATCGAAATTGTGCAACGGCTTCAATTTCTCCATATCTTCCTCCACGGTTTGTATTTCTCCGCCGCCTCTTCTCTTACCGGAAAATACCATCAAAACCTCTTTCAATCGCTTCTCTTTCGCTCCAATCTTCCCCTCGTAATTCTTGTCACGGAGGGTATTATTCTTCCTTTCTGTGTGTTTTGTGTTTAATCTGAAATCGCCGCGAAACATTCATATAAATGACGAGTCGAGAGAGAGAGAGAGAGAGAGAGATGGGAGAGGTGAGATTTAACGTTCGAGAAGCAGGTTAGACTGCTAACGTGCACCAGCGTGTGAGTTTTGTGCGCATTTTTGGTATGGAGGATGGATTTGCCGACCGAATTTCAAATGGGATGTCTCATCACAACCGTTCATCTCATTAAACAATATGGATAAAGTTACATTAATGATCCCTATAGTATAGTAAAATAGACAATTTTAGTCCAAGTTTTATCTTACAATATTGTTCCCTGTGGGTTGTGGTTTATTAGATCACTGTTCTTTTGGATGATACCAATAGAAATAAGAGGTGATACCATTAGAAACTAGGAAAAGGTCTGTGCGTTGCACGGGTCATTCTTTTTAGAAGAAAATAAAATAAATGGTAGAATAATATAATGACGAAAATTACAAAGAATAAACAAAATTGATTGAATTTGGAAACTTTTTAGAAAATATGTGACGAAAGTCTGAATGTTAAAAAGTCCGGGTTGATGATAGAAAAAAAAGTATCAAAATAGAATAATGTTGAAAAATAGGACTGTAAATTGAGTAAAGAAACGGAGCACTTTTGAGAAAATAAAAAAAAAAACATCTAAGAAAAGTCACAACTGAATCTTTTTAGAAAAAAAAAATGATAGAAGAATATGGTAGACAAAAATGATAAAGAATAAAGAAAAAAGGTTGTAAAGAAATAAAAGTGAAAGTTTAGTGACAAAAATATAAAGATCTAAAAATAAAGTGGCAAAATTATAAAGACGAAAAGTTTGTTGAAACTTTAGTGACAAAATTATAAAGAAGTAAGAAAAAAGGTTGTAAATAAGTAAAAATGGAAGTTTAATGACAAAAATATAAAGAATTAAAAATAAAGTGGCAAAATTATAAAGAGGAAAAGTTTGTTGAAACTTTAATGACAAAATTATAAAAAGTAATAGTAAAGTGGTAAAATTATAAATTGGAGAAGTTTCATGTTCAAACTTCCCATGTCCTTTAATATATATATATATATATATATATATATATATATATATATATATATATATATATAATAAGAGGTGCGGTACATATAAAAACACTAATTTATCCTTATTTTATTCTTTTGTTTAAATAAAATTATATGATTGTTCAATATGGTTTTTCAGAACTAGAACTAGTTGGTTGATGACAATTATGAAAACGTTTCCGTGCTTAGGCATTGTGGTTTTATTTTGCTTCATGGTTGACTTTTGAGACGTTAAATAGAACTTTGAGTTGTTACTTTTTTTAAATAACCAATATGACCTACTTTTATTTATTTTATAGTAAATTACAGTTTTGGCTGGTAGTGAATCTTTTACTATTCTCATCTATTTCACACACACAACATCCTCCAATTTCATTTAATTCCTCAAAACTGAAAAGAATTTAAAAATTAAACTAATAAAGAAACAATATGTCACTAAAATCCCTAAAGATCACAATTCTCTTAAATCCATGACAATTGTACTCTGTTTCTCGACAACATTCAAGGCGATTTCACTTGTGTAATCCCGATTCAAATATCGACATAGGAATCGACTAAGGCTCCATGAACATCCATCGGTTGCCAATGGAAAAGGTGGTGGAAATGATGAGAGAGAATGAGCTCAAGAATGTGAAGTTATTTGAAGCAGAAAAAGGATCATGGAAGTCCTAGCTGGATCAGAGATTGAAGCGGTGATGGAGATCCTTAATTTGGTGTTGTTGGATATAAGTCAATATCCAATATATGTTGATTATTGATTTGATGCTAATATTACTACTTATGTTTATCTTGGTGGTGTTGTTATCAAGTCAGAAACGTGCCTTTTATCAAAGCATACACCGCCACATATCTCCAAATCAAATTGATTATCAGGCGGAAGAGTGGATGGGAGGGGTAGGCTGAAATCCATAGTCAGATCGAATGCCAATCTGTGAATCCTTTTGAGAGGATTCACTGGCTTTGGTTCTTTTTTTGGCTCGAACTTTTGAGGGTGATTTCTTTCGTTTGGCCATCTGCTTCTTACGTCCTCTTGAAGAGGTTGATTTGTTCACATCTGAGGCTAGATCATTCGAGATTGGGGTAGATTGTGTTGGGTTGAACACAACAGAATTCTCAAGATGATGTTTGAGATATGGTGAATTGGATGGAACTGTGGCTAACATGTGTACGGGCAAACGTCTGATAGGTCCATAAGCGAATTGGTCTGGTAACCTATAAGTCTTTATAGATTTAAAAGAACAATATACCTCTTTGATGTCCGAGTTGAGAGGAATGGCTTCAAGTCTCTCAAAGTACAGTTGTTGCAGCGTTAGAGCCCAGAATCTCGGACTGGAAATTTCATTCGGCTTCCTCTTGACAATGAATTTCCGAAAGTCTTGCCATAGAACATTGGTTAATTCAACTGCATTATCCCTTACGGAGAAGATGTTGTAAACAACATAGAGCCAATCTTTGCTCATGGTGCCTGTTGTTGGGTTTTGAGCATTCTAACACTCCTATGGTGTACATGCAACCCTATAAACCTTGGATCTATGTTTTCTCTATTATACATGCAAATATTAAATATTCCAAGGTTTCATCCTAACTAGCATATTATGAAGCACCTATACTACAAAGTTCTAGTTAGATGACATACCTTTTGATGTAGCTTGATGTCTTCAAGCTTTAAGAGCTTAGCCCCAATAGTGTGGAAGCCTCAAGTGGAATCACAAATCACCAAAACACCTTGGAAAACCTTTAGAGAATATGGATACTTGGCTCACACTATGAAATCGGTTATTGCCCTCTTTAGTGTATCCACACTAGCCACTAGCATAATTTCATGAACCATAAGACCCTTTATATAGTGTGGAGGATTAGGGTTAAACCCTAATACCCATGACCTTTCATTTCCTAGGATCCATGGGTTAAAGCTCCATGGACTATCCATGAAGACTTAGCCCAACCTAAATGAACTTGGCCCACTACACATATATATATCTAAGAGTCCATATTTAATTAGTTCCTTTTGATCACTTAATTAATTATTAATTAATTCTTGATCAATACTAATTAAATAATATGATTATATATTAATATATTAGAACTTATAATATATTAATATAAATCATAAATATACTATTCTCAAAAGACTATCCATATAAATTGTGTCGGTGAAGTGCAACCCAAATGGACCATGCCGGGTCGGGTCAAGTACATACCAAATATAGTTATGGACTTAGACATTAATCCAACAGTCTCCCACTTGGATAAGTCTAAAACTATTATTGAGTGTGACTTTAAAAACCAACTGGCAATCATAGCTCTTAAAGCCGCTGTCGAACTCTGATCTTGTCAATGAACTCTGACCTTTGTCAATGACTTGTCCATTAGATAAAGGATCATATATTCCTCCATTCTAGATATCATATGGACTGAGACATGGATTATAATCATTCTCTCTGTCCATTTGTTGTTTCCCGATTTTCAATTTATGATGACTGACTGATTGAACAAATCAAATCAGTCCTGGATTGGCCAAGCACTCACATGTGTCATCGCTAAATCATCGAGGGGCCCACAAATATCGCTTTTATCCCGAAGGTAAAAGGAATGGATAAACTTCGACTCATATGGCTCGTTCTACTACTTGTTGAATCATACACAAAGGCACGTTTTATAACATCGAGTTACCAAATGCGTTTTCGTGCAATCAATGTATAACCAACTCATAGTAACAACTCATATCTCTAGGTTTGAAGAGTATAAGATATTATCGTCTCATGATCACTCGTGATAAAATCCATGAAGTGATTCAAATGAGCGCGGGTTGAATCCAATACTCAGAACTTATAAGCACTCATGAGTGTTGTAGCACCACTTTTTCCACCAACTTGGACCTCTACAAACCAACCCATGACAATCTTGATTCATATCTACTTCCAACATATGACCGACTGTGGATGGTTTGAATAACTTAATCATTCAGGAAGAGCGACTTAGTTATTCTGGAAGTTAAAACATGCAAAGTGAAACACAAGAATAAATGAATTAAATATGGTATCAAACCCTATGAATATAAATAAACACTTTTATTTATCACCATACTGATTACTCATTATTCATTGTTTCGGTTTCTCAACTTATACTTGAATTAAAAACACTAGTTGTCCCATGCTCCAAGCATGTACACTATGTTTTTCTTAAACAATAGCTTTGCCATACACCAAGTATGCACTCTATGTTTGTCTATGATCCTTACTTTGTGAAATAAACCAATTGAACATAATTTCAATGATTCTAATTTCACACTCCCAAATCCTTATCGAAAAATGTGAGAATTTCAAATTCCTATCATTTATCGAAATCTGTTTAGATTTTAAACTTATATGCACTGACCCTCCTGTAATGAATATGTACAAAGTCACAAAGACTTGTCAACAGTCATTATAAGGTATTCCAATGGAGATCAACTCCATGGAAACTAAGTCTCATATTCAAAGTACATTGCTTTGGACATGCTTCTTGCATTAAGTTTTCTAATCTTACACAGATAACTTCCACCTATGGAGACAACTTCATATTCTCATTTTGACTATCACTTCTGAATAAGAGATGCATTTTTTCAGAATATGTCAATATGGTCCTTCCAAAATTAGCATTATACTTCCAGCTGTCCCCGAGCAACCAATCTTTGGTAAACCTCAGATTGTCCTCGACAATTGCTTAATCATTTTAGTCATATCCAATTCTAGACATTTTCCCTTCTTAATGCCTCTGGGCATTTGGAAAAATTTAGAAATGACAAATATTATAGCACATGCAATCGATCCTGTACCCAAAGCAAATGGTACACGATTCATGATGTCTCACATAAAGACATGATTCTAGACCAGTCTTTTGCTACAATATTTTATTTGCCATGTTTTCAAAATTTGACTATGAAGAGGGATGCCGTAATCATAATCGAATTTTGAGAACGCAATATATATATATACTTTCCTTAAGTTGAACCAATCCAACATGAAATTCATATATATATTCTTGACTAAAGATGATTAAGGTCTCAATCTAAGCCTTTAGAACTGAAATGAAGTATATCCTCTCCCTTAATTATAGCAAAACAACTTTTTCAATCCCTG